CTGACGATGATTCTGCTGCTGATTAGGGCATCTACGAACGACCCAGCTCCTCACTGCGACACTGGAACCTCAAGCTCCAACCACTTGACTCCAAATCCTGAAGTTAATAGTTTCAGCTTGATTTTCCCCTGGAGTTCATATACCAGGGGCAGCATGTGGGAGGATGAGGATTCGGCTGGTTAGCAGGGCGCGGTCGCAACTGTGCGATGTAATAACAGACTCATCGGCGAAACGTGTGTTTGGGTTTTAAACTTTTGATATGCGTTGATTAAACAGACTCTGTCTCTTTGTGTAAGTGGGGTCGTTACAAATGGAATAAGAGTGGGCGGCTATGAGAAGGTCGAAACTTGAAATAACCCAAGAGAATAACCTGTATGCAGCAAGTTTAATCTGAGCGTTGCAGGATATCCTACGAGTTGTAGAGATACTAGCTTAAAGCCCAGACACGTGCTTCGCGGATATTTTGTCGTTGCATGGCATAGCCGGCAGCGCTGTGGCTGATGGACTTCGCCCAAATATTCATACAACAAAAGTTAGACTGGCACGTAGACCATATTATAGGCGGACCTACTCCAAGTTAGTAGCATCAATCTTAAGAAATTAAGAGGCATCAACTGAGTTTAATATAGTGTCACCTATATGCACCACGGTGACACTGTGAGCATGTGGGTGGCTCACAAGTGTAGATGATGGAAACTACCTTCATTAGGATGTGTTCATCAACACCTCTTAATTATGATGTCCAGTCTACATATCAGATAGGTTTTTTAGATTAAAAAGCGAAAGTGTTAATCGATCAGTTGTGGTTAAGTAGTCCCACCATAAGATACCGGCGGCTAGAGGGTTTATTACATGTGAGACAGGGGAAAAGCACATACGACGGGGTCAGGCTACAGAAAAGCAATTAGAAATGTGTGGTTTTAATTTGATCGGTTGAGAGGCAGTTGACTTAACCACTCACACTGACCATAACCTCTAGCCCTAGCCTCCAACTCTAACACCTAGTCCCAACCCCAATCCCCGACCATTAACCCTAATCTCTAACCATAAATCTTGATCCTAGCCCCCTAACCCCAACAGGATTGTGTTCATCTGATGGGGCTACATAATTACATCTTGGGCATACAGCGTGACGGTTTCTCTCTACACTTACCTCAGACTAGAATACTGGTGCATTTCTTTGTCTGTGCTTGCAAGCAGGAGGTCCGGATGCGTAAAAAACATCTTTGAATTCGGCATGTGAAGGATAAAAGAATAAAATGTGTCCAGTTTTAATTTATATTGAAGACAGATTGAAGCTTTGAATTGTGTATGCAATGAGACAGCACACGCATAATCGTAAATATTGTAAGGCACAAGCTGCATTTACACCGTTGCAATGAGCCGGATGTTTAGTTAAGTTTGGGCCACTCGAGAAAATGTGTGGGATACATCAAGATGGGTGCGCCGTCGTAGGCCAGAAATCGGTAGGTTTCTTTTTTCCCAGCGTCATACGTCAGAGAAAAGGCTAGGTTCTCAGTCTTCACACGTCCCGTTACCCGCATGTTTTTATAGTTCTCACGTCGACTTGTTCTTAAATCAGTATCAGTATCAGTATCAGTTTATTAAGGGAAATATAGGCAAGCGCATTTGAATTCCCTCTTGGTTACAAGTCGTCGGAGAAAAACATTGATAAATGGGAAGGTGAAAAAGGGATTTTGTACATACTCGCGGACAGCCGGCAGGTAGCCGAAAAAGAGTAATCATTAATGGTTACTGACTAATTACAAGTAGTATAAACACATATAAGATGGTATCGGTTTATGTGAGTGGGTGTGGGGGTGGTAATTGGGAAGCTTGATGCAGGTCAAGTCTACACTTGAAGGAGTTCACACAGGAGGAGGTTACAACATCGGTAGGTAGGGCATTCCAGGCTGCAACCACTCTGTTACTGAAAAAGGACTTTCGTCCATTGGTTCTTGATTTCCCTGCGCGTAGTTTTAGGGGATGACCGCGCAAAGTGGGCGTGTTAGCTTGGGTGAAATAATCAGTGGGATCTAAACAACAGCCTAGGCCGTTGATGATGCGAAATGTTAGTATAAGGTCACCACGTAATTGCCTGTAGGAAAGGGGAAACAGGTTGAGGATTGACAGTCTGGTTTCATAGGGCAGTGCTCCCAGACCTTGTGTCATTTTGGTCGCCCGTCTCTGGACCTTCTCCAAGACGGTATAATCCTTGGCAGTCCAGGGTCTCCACGCCTGTATGGCGTATTCTAGATGAGGTCGCACGAAGGTGCCAAATATTTTGGAAAAGCAGTCAGGGTCAAATCCCATAAATGCTCGCCTAATGAGTTGCAATGTGGCCGTAGCCGAGTTAGCCGCCTTCGCGCAGTGCAGTGTTGGTTTGAGTGAAGATGTAATCCATACACCCAGGTCCTTCTGACTGTCAACCTGTTGCAGTGGTGTGCCGTTTAGAATGTAGGTCCTGGGGCTGGGGGCTCTGAAGCTGCCGAGTTGATGAAAGTTGCGCTTGCCTATATTGAAGGGCATAAGCCAGCGCTTTGATCAGTCTTTAAGCCTGTTCAAGTTTGCTTGCAGGTGGTCTGCGTTTGCCGCATTGCCGCATTGCGAATCACTTTCCACGATTTTGTGTCGTCAGCAAGCATGATGGCATCACCGTCTAGGTCCTTGACGCAGTCATTTACGAAAACGAGGAATAACGTGGGACCTAAGACTGAGCCCTGTGGGACGCCACTCACCACGCTTACATCTGAGGACTGTTGACGCCCGACCTGCACTCTCTGGGACCGTCCAGCCAAAAAGCTCTGGATCCATACAAGAAGGCGTCCACGAATTCCAGCGTTGCGCAGTTTGTACAAGAGACGTTGATGAGGAACGCTGTCGAAAGCCTTTTTGAAGTCGATGTAGATGGCGTGCACCACCTTGCCTTCATCACGTGCTTTGGTCCAGCGTTCGAGCGTAAAGAGCAGATTCGTGAGGCAGGACCTACCACTTCGAAAGCCGTGTTGGGCATCGGAAAGAAGATGGTGCTGCTCGAGGAACTGCACCAAGGCCTTCTTAATGATCTTTTCCATGATTTTGCAACAGATCGAGGTAAGACTCACTGGCCTGTAGTTATTCGCAGACGCACGACTTCCACCCTTAAAAAGCGGAGTGATTGTAGCGGACTTCCAGTCAGAGGGCAGGCATCCAGTAACAAATGACGTTTGAAAGATCAAGGCTAACGGCTTGGACCTTTCGGAAGCTAGTTCTTTCAGCAGCTTGGCCGGGATTGCATCAGGGCCTTGGGAGGTCGACTCTTTTAGGTTTAGTAACTCATTCCGAACAATTGTTTCGGTGAAGAAGACGGCTTCGAGGGTAGGCGTTTCATCGTCTTCATAAGCGGGTGAGGAAAAAGCAGGTTCACTTGTCACGACTGACCGGAAGAACTGAGAGAGATGTTCAGCCTTATCCTTGTCATCGGAGATTTCCACACCATCAGCCGTTCGCAGCAGTGGGACAGGATCTTTGTTCCGTGTGCTCTGTCTTATGTAGCTGTAAAGGATTTTCGGATTAATCATGGCACGGTTCAAAAGATTCTTTTCAAAAGCTTTCCTATCTCTGGCGATGAGAATTTTGACCCGATTTCTCTGTAACTTTTAACTGCTTAGGGATTCTTGCGTGCGATCCGTCAGCGATCTTTTCCATAGCTTCCTCTTCTTGTTAACTTCCTTCTTTAATGACGGAGTCAACCAGCGAGGTCTATTTGTTAGTCTTTTGCGCATGATTGGACAGTGGTTGGAGATGCGGTTGTGGACTAACTCTTTGAACTGACACCAAGCCTCTTCGACATCGCCGGAGAGAGTGGATGCCCAGTCAATAGGACTAAGATCCTTTTTCATCTTTTCAAAATCGCCGCGCCAAATATTAGGTCGGGAATCGAGCGGTTGTGTAGGAAGGGAGAATAACGTGTATTCCCACATGAGAACTACATGGTCACTCTGACCCAACGGGGGGAGACAATTCACAACGTCGATGTTGTCAGACGACTTGGTGAACACAAGATCGAGGCAGTTCATCTGTTAGCCCTCTCGAACTCTAGTTGGAAACATTACGTGTTGTGTGAGAAGCAGGTTGTCGGAGGTACGCAGTAGCTGCTGGTCAAATGCTGCTTCAGAGCAGTCGGCTGAGGCCGAGCTCCAGTCGATGTGAGGTGCATTAAAATCTCCAACGATGAGAGTGGTCGGCCGCGTTGAAAATAATCTGAGCTCCTCCAGCAGTTGGGCATCAGCGTCAGGTTCATTTCTCGGGGGGCGATATACTGTCAAGATATCGAGACTTTGAGAGCCCGGTGCCCTTATGGTCAGCCATAATGCTTCGGTACAACAAGTCAGTTGGGCAGTTTTTTCTGAAACGTGCAAGCCGTTCTTAACAAATGTTATTATGCCTCCACCCCTTCTGTTTTCTCTGTCTCGGCGGAACAGTTGAAATCCAGGGAGCATGAGCTCTCTATCATCAATCTGTTCGGACAACCATGTTTCTGTTATTGAGATAACCTCTGGATGGAGGTCGTAGGTATGGATACGGAGTTCGTCCAGTTTAGAAAGTACACTTTGCGCGTTGGTATACATGAATATGAGTTTCGAGTTCATGCGAGATTTGCTTTCAAACCCGACACGGGCTACTGGGGTAGCTGTGCAGTCATTCGGATCGGCTTGATCCAGAGGGGAGCGGAATGTCGTTTGACAATCCGGTCTTTGTAGATTGTCAAGTTTTTCTCTCCGTTGGTTTGCCGTGTTCTCAATTTTAGGACAAGTTTGCGGCGTTTCATTCTCTCGGCAGGTGAGTAGTCCGGCTGAAAAAAACACTCCTTTATGGGAATGCTTCAATCGAAAACGCCTGGAAAGTATTAGTTTCGCCTGCTCATTGCTACCAAGGACGATTTTTAGGGGTCGTGGTCGCGTTTTCGGAGCGGCATTTGTACGGCTACCAAGACGAAACGCCTTTAGGACTGGGACATCTTATGTTGGTTGCAGCATTTCATTGAGGAGTTTCTGGAATTGCTCTAAGTCAGCAGCGATTCGTTCCCTGGGGGAACTGGCGGAGGACTCTGCGAGGCCCTGAATTATGACACATTGGTCCTTGTTAAGCATTCCTCTGTTTTCTGCGATTTGGACGTCGTTGGCTGGCCCTATTGCCTCGTCGAAGTGGACTGGAGAAGAGGAAGGGGCTGTCATATTGGTATATATGTCCCCGTGAAGTTCGTCCGCGGATCCTGTTAAGGCATCGTGAATAGTTGCACACTGGGATCTATCAACAATACCTCCCATCAGAGGGCTCTGTGGAGAGCTTGACCCCCATGAATTAGAGGCTTCCTCAGCTCGGTTCTTAACTCTGTTGACATGGGAATTCGCGGTGGCAGCTAATTCCACCCTGGGTCCATAGCCATATGTCTTTGCGCTAACTGATGATCCCTCTAAGTTAGGCTCAGGAAATGAGAACACTGTCTGGGAATTATTAAGATTGGGCGTCATCTGCCCCATTACTTCCACTTCTTCCGTTGGCACATTTACATTCGTTTCATTTTCCAACCGCTTTTCGGGTAAGGCTAATATACTCTCCTTCTTATTCTGGCGACTTTTCCCTGTGGTGTTAAGTGTCGTCTTCTTCCTCTTATTCTTTTTTTTCATCGGAAGCCACGACTTGACTACTAATAGTAGTTGTCTTATTCACCCCATAATTGCTTTCTGGGGATTCCTTACGCTGGATGGCTCTCGCTCTACTCCGAGTTAGCCTCTGCGTAGATAACACCGGGCGGTCCTCTGAAGGAACAGTCTTGTGTATAAGTTCCTTCAGATTCCTTACTTCTTCCTCTAGTTGATGCATCTTGTAGGTTATCGTCTGACAATCATTACATGAATATCATACCAGATCCTGCGGTGACAAATTAACAAAGCTTTTTACTGGGCTGTCTAGGCGTGCGTCGGTGGTGTAGGGGTTAGCGGAGCGAGCCCTAAGTTCTGAGGTCCCCGGTTCAAATCCCAAGTGCGCGTTACTTTGGAACACTAGTGCAGACTCCAACATTCTGGATAACTTTTCTATATACACAAAGAGCGTAGACTTAAGTATGAAGGAAAGGCCTTTATGACGATCTTTCGGTAGATAGTAACTTCATTAGCTGAATGGGAAGGTATGGTCGAGAAGCTTCCGAGAGCAAAAATTTAGACAAATACTTTGAGGCGATTATGAAACAATGTCTAATAGTAGAAAAGCGACTCAGCCTTTGTAGAAACTTTGGATAAATTGTTCTTCAGATAATCCGACTTTCTGGGCTTGCAAGTATGAGAAACGAGGAAGGCCGAAATCGGAGTTCTGGGAATGTGCTGCAGGAGACTAGTTGGGTGGAAGATATTGATGAGTCGAATTCAAGTCTAAATTCCGGCAAGCTCTAAGAGCGTACAGTAAGTCCAAATCTCGAAGTAACTAAATTCCTCGGAGAGCGAACATTTGAAACCAAATTCGAAACGCGCGCATACAACATCTCCGCCAGATCTTGAGTATAGTAACGTGAAGAGCAACTTACCATTTGGGAATAATTATTTTCAGTCCCTTCCTGCCTGATGACGATCCATATCTGCTGATATTTCCCAGCAGCCTGATCCCCTTGAAATGGGGAATTTGGTTCATTTAAAATTTCGCATCTCAATCGGGATTTTGATTGTAAATGTAAATGTAAATTTACAGAAGGATTACAGTATAAATGAAATGAGCGTGGTCTTTTGGTACCTTTATATTTTCATCCATGACAACAGCAACTGGTCTCGAATAGGCCGGGTGTGAGACAATGGGTTTTACGTAATGGACATCAGGGATCTCTGATAACATAAGAAAAATCTGAGTTGTGAAATTGAAATGACATATATTTGAGGAAGATTTTCTTGCTGGTTGGTTTCATTAACGATTATCAGATATCACGACTTTATATAAAGTGGGGCATTTTGAATATATACCTGGGACGAATTCCCCTACGTTCACTACGACGATCGCAATTTTTGCCTTTTCGGGATTTTCGGGTGTGAGAATAACCACAGAGTAATTTTGGTAAGTTCAATCTTTGTTCAGAAAACTTCTTCCGTTTTTCCGAAAAAAAAGAATTCACGAATTAGCTATCTTTAATATTTGATATCACTATATGCAGACTACCATAAGTGATCTGACCATCGATTCGAAAAAAACCCGCATTTAATGTCCTTTGTTTCGTGGGTGTGTTTGTGTTTGCGAATTTGAAGTGACAAATTGTAAAAGACTCAACAACTCACTTGGATAGAATTCTACACATTTAGTCGGAGGTTCGCAGGGATGTCCTCCTGTTCGGTGCACAAATCCTGATTCGGATGACTTGAACTGTACGGAGAAAGCCACAGTAATATTTCGAATTTACAGTTCTTAATAAAGCAAATTTCGACATTTTACATACCCGGGAGGATGCTGGCACTTCGTAAGCAAGGTCGATGTTGGTATGTCGCTTAGCAGCTAGCAAAAATCCAACTACAAATGGGCAGGGAATTGTCAGAACTTGTCGACTTACAACAGCTACAGAATCGGACATTGAGCAAGATCAGGGCAATGGTCACAGTCACGAGGATCATTGAATGTCGGATGATGTAGACTATGTGCGGTAGCTGAGGTGGAATTAACTGTTCCTGCCTCATTTAGCGGACCTATGAGTCTATTTATACCATGCCAATGAAGGGTCCATATCACTATCCAACAGGTGTCGTCGCCCTTGCTCATCAGACTGTTTTCCTTGGAAGTTATGTCTTTTTTATTATACATTATTTTGGCAGTTGTTTTGCTCCATTTAGTGCCTGCGCGGAGCGTTGTTCCTACACCACACAATGCAACCAGGCACTTGTCTGAGTCGCTGCCCCGCGCCCAGAATCAAAAGCATTTTTTTTCATGTTTTGTTAGGGAAAACTAGGCACTAGTTTCTGCGCCTTCATATTGATTCTAAATGTTTTTGAATGCCAAGAGATGAGAGATAGCAGATCGCATGCTTTATAGAATTATCCAGCAGTGGGGATTGTTGGCTGATTTAAAAGCGCCTGAGTCCCTCATTTGCAATGTGCTTCGATTCTGCCTTGAGTTTTTGATATGCTTATTTGCCGAAGACGCCGATCGCGCATCCATTGTCGACAAGATTGGATAGTTAAGAGTTAATAATGATAGAAACTACCGGAATGCACATCAAAAATCCCTAGGGGATTCATGCATGAGCTAGACCCTTAATAACTCTTCCATGCAATGGCACAATAACGGAAAACAGGTCTTTGGGCTTTTAGCTTCTACGTATGCCACTAGTCATGAAATAGATACTCCGTTCACGCATGGACACAATCTCTTCCGTCAAAACCAGTAATAAGGCCCAATGCCATCAAACATGGCCGGGTAGTCACAGCGGGACGGTATAATTTCTCACATTTAAAGTCGGAAGCAGACGGAATTTACTCGACTAGTCAGAATGCTGCAGCAAGTTGAAGTCTCCGGACGACAGTAAGAGGTCAGAACTAGCCGTCGCATATGACGAGGATGTCAAGGAGCTTTACCTAGAAGAAAAGGAAGATTCGATCACAGGAATAGGCATATTGCCCTGACGTTTAAGATTCTTAGTTGATCTCATCATCAGAAACAGTTGTTGTGTATGATGGCATGCGTACGGTATATTCCATGCAGGTCAAATCCAACCGGCACTAGGATTTGGTATGCCCTTATGTGCTTGAAGAAAGCCTCAGAAGCTGCCTCGATTGGAGTTTAGATTAAACGGGATACAACTTTCAGGCGACAAGTTATGAGGCCGAAAGACCAGCTCTCAAGGCAAGGAATGTCTGCAGTCGTTTGCTACGTCTGGTACAGTAACAGATAGAGCAACTACGGCAGAGAAACTGGTGGATTACTCCGGAGATCAATGGTCGAGCACGTAGCAGTAGCAATGTAAGAAGACGGAATCAGGTCACGTTTTCAAGTTTCAAGAGGCCGACTCCTCGTAATAGGTAACTGCGTTGCATGGGTCTCAGGCCAACACTCTATTAACAAGCGTAATGAACTACCTTTACCATAAAGGGTGCTAAGACGTTTCCTGAGTAGGGGAAGCAATTACGGGGGGTATGGACACAAACCCTGCCGTCAAAACCAGTAATCAAGACAAGTGTCATCAAAATCACCAGCGTAGTCGCAGTGTGACCTTACAATGTCTCATATTTAAAGTGAGAATCAAACAAATTTTTCTCGACTAGTCAGAATGCTGCTGCGAGCTTGAGTCTACGGACGCGGATAGGACGTCAGGACTAGCGGTCACATTTGTCGAGGATGTTAAGGAGCTTTTCCTAGAATCAGATGTAGATACAACTGCAGGAACAGGTATACTGGTCTGACGTTTCGAATTCTCATTCGATCCCATTATCAGAGACAGTCACTGCGTGGTACGGCATGCGTAATATAACTGCCACGGGCGGCCACATCCAACTGGCACTAAGTATTGGCCTGCTTCTCTGTACTTGATGAATTCCTCGGAAGTCGCCAGTCTCCTTCATACTTCACTCGTAGTTGGGGTTACGCCAGAGGCGACGTTCAGACGCCAAGTAATGAGACCGAAAGACCATCTGTCAAGGCAAAGAGCGTCTGAAGTCGTTTACAACGTCCGGTGGAGTAGTGGATACAGCAACTACGCAGAGAAATTGGGAGATTATTCTGGACACGAGTGGTCGGGCACGTAGCAGCAGAAATGTGAAAAGACAGCATCCGGCCACATGTCCACGTTTCAATAAACAACCTCGTGGGCCGAGATCTGTTCGAGTCATAGTTCTCAGGCCCTCAGGCCATCAACAAGTGTGATTACCCCCCTTTACTATAAGCGGTGTTGAGACGTTCCCTGAGCACGGAAATCAATTACGAGATGAAAACGCAGACGAGCAACGATTCCAGTGGCATCGGGCCAAATTGCCGAGTACTCATCACGCCAATGTCTAACACGGCCAATGAAAATGACAACAATTAACGACTCGGGCTCTGACTGACATGATGCTTTCACATCGATTGAAAACCTCAGTGGTGACCACGATAGCTGATAACCATAGGAAGCGTGTGGTTCCACGTCGGCTGTGTCCCATGATTACTGCACTTCTACTGCCTCGATTACCTATGTCTGCAACAGTGTATGATGATGGGTTGGAGTAAGAATCTGAGACGCCATGCCAATGGAGTTCTTGTTCGTGTGATTGCATCTTCTCTCCTGAACTGCTTCCAGCAACTCGCTCGTTTACTTCCATTGGCAATTTTGTCAACTGGACTCCATGAACAAACGAACGTCACCATGCTGCAGTAATATTTGGAAAAATCCCGGAGATTACTGTTTGGTCCCTCAAGAGTAACTCATGGGTGTTTAAAACGCCGATGTAACAATAAAACGAAGAGTTAAATCGTTCAGAGTAGGTAAAAGAGAAAAAATACAATTGCCTCTGTTTGTGTGAGTGCACCCCAAAGCTGGTCACATGTTATATGCGCTAGACCAACACGGGGACCATATTGGACTCTGCCAGGGGTCATTGGCTATGCGCAACGTAACAAATGCCAACATTTCGGGGTGCGGTGGCAGACCCGGTGTCCGGCAGCTATCGCAACATTGGGACCTTGTTATTGTTATTGGGAACCTATTGTTATTGTAAATCAAAAACCTGCTTATTTGTTGTGTGGACCAGGAGGTGTGGAGTGGAACGCCAAAGTGCAGGCTAGACCGTGCCATCTACCTGGCCCTACCCCACCCCATTCGCTCGTTTTTTTTTATTAGTAATTTTGTCTACTTGACCCAATGGTCAAACCAACGTCGTCAAGCTGCAGTAATATTTGAAAAGATCCCGCGAGTCTATGTTTGGTCGTTCAAGAACTGTTCATGGGTATTGAAAAGCCAATGTTTCGGTAAAACAGAAAGCTCAATCGTTCAGATTTTGCAAATATGAAAAATAAAAATGCCCTTATTTGTGTGAATGCACCCCAAACAGGCCACGTGGTAAATGCGCTACACCAACACGAGAACCATATTGGATTCTGCAGACGTTATCGACTTTGCGTTTCGTAAAAATGTTTACATTACTGGGTACGGTGGCGGATCCGGAGTCTGGCAGCCGTCGCGCACATTGGGACCTTGCTGACCCTCTCTGTTGTTGTGAATCAAAAATCTGCTTATTTGTTGTGTGGACCAGGAGGTGTGGAGTGGAACGCCAAGGTGCTTGCCAGACCCTCCCATCCACCGGCGCCCTCCCCCACGTCTGGTTTTCATGACTCTGCCTTGTCACCGGGTGCAGGCGGGGAAGGAGTAGACAGCGTATCTGGTGCTGTGCAAGTCAGCTATCACCATAATCTAATTCACGTGCAAATCATCTAAATTAGTCGGTAGACATATGTGACACGTTGCAATTAATTCGTCTGAACGTGTTTGCAATGCACATGCGGTCAATATGCACTGCTGCCAACATCATCCCTCCTTCCATAACACAAACTTTGGGTCGTCATGACAGGACAACTCTGCTGCCTGCAGCAACTTTTGAAGTCTAAAATCCCTTGCGCGCCAGCCGCGCCTGGCGTAAGTCACACGTTGTTAACTCACCTTACCTTTCGACAGCTTATAGCCCCACCGCATTGAAACACGTGCACGCGCACTAACGAAAAACGCCTGCCTGCGCAGTGAAACAGTCGCGTGAAAGTGGGGCGTTTGCGTCTTTTTTACGTTCAGTGTTTTGGCCCGCTAATCCTGATCTTTCGTGAATCATTACACTGGGCAACGTGAATGATTCACTACGTTCATGAACCTTTAACCCGGTGGATATTGGAAAATGTAGAAATGTAATGAGTGATTGGCGAATTCTGTAAGTCGATGTCATTACCTGAATATTAAAAGCAAGGAATACCAAAGGATCCGTCCACACAAATCAAAATGACATTCCTTTTGTTTCTTAATAATAAGTGTAAAGATCGGAGAACGTTTATTGGGAATGTACCAGCTCAGTTAATTTTGGCTTGGTTCTGTATGCGTCTTTAATGCGCTATGAAAATTAAATCCTGCAGTCATTCTGAGGATGCAGCCTTCGCACCGGCTCTATCGAAAATACTTGCAAAGGGAAATTTTTCCTTTCAGTGGATGCACGAAATAGAAATAATTCTTACCAGTGCATATATTTGTAGCCAATTCTGTATGGAGATGCAACGGCCTGACTCGAATTAAGCTGTCCCAGGCTATACAAACGGCAAGGAAACCGAGTAACCGGCAGTAAACCCATCCCTACCAGTGCAAAATCGCTCGATACTTGTCGCTTACCAAAGGTTTCAGCATAAATGTTCAATGGATTGACTTGAGGCATTAGGTTACATAAGAAGTTATCCAAAAGAAAACCGGGTAACCAGCCCTCGAACGTTAATCCAAGCCTAATATGCCATCGTTAACAGTCTCCAAGTCAGGAGTAATTCCACTCGAAGCTGAGTAAGGCTTTGATGAGAGCAGACTACAGCTGTGTCGAACGCAACACACAAAAGTAGACACTCCTACTTTCACATGATGAGTGGGAGGTTGTAAGTATTATTGTAATTTAGGTAGCATACTGCGTCCTCGCAGTATGACCATAGTGTTTTAATCCCAGCAAACCTGTTCCTGTTGATTTACAAA